TCCATGTAACTATGACAATGAATAGATTTCCTCTAGATCAGTTTAACTACATAGTTAAGATCTAGAAGAAATACAAGCAGTATGCTTGCAGAAATGGTTGATGATGCTAGTGTAAATATTAAAGAACACTGGAAACAGTGTGAGAAACAGAGAAAGTTAGAATATACTAGCATCGACAGTCTGCGTGAGGCAGCTCGTAAACATGAGACCCGACATAGTGGGGGTACTTGGCAGGCTTACTGATTGTCCTAGTATGAAGCATTGAAATGCTATTGAAAAGGGGTCATGAGACACCTTAAAAGAACAGAAAAAACCTTGGCATTTCTTATCAATGGTTTTGCTGTATTGGTAGGGTATAGTGATGCGGATTAGAATATCCTATAGAGGACTTCAAGACAACAAGAGGATGTGTTTTAAACATCGATAGAGAAGCTATGTCTTGGAAGTCTAAGAAGTAAACGATCTTGGCTCAATCAACCAAGAAATCGGAAATGATAGAACTAGCAATGGCTAATAAAGAGGAAAGTTGATTGAGAGGGTCAGTACTAGAGATTCCCTTATGGGAAAGACCGATCCCTCCGGTAGTTGATTCATTGTGATAGCACCGCAGCTATTACTAAAGAAGGGAACCGGTTCTAGAATGAAAAGAGACGACAAATTCGTCGTAAGCACAATACTGTAAGAAAACTCCTAACAATAGGAGCAATGAGGGTGGATCCTGTAAGGTCCTAACAGAATCTAGCTGATCCTTTGACGAAAGGATTATCTAGAGAGAAAGTCCAAAATACCGCCAAGGGTATGAGACTTATGCCTACCGAACCACGGATTACAAGTGATGGTAACCCGACCCGATAGACTGGAGATCCCAAGAAACGGGTTCAATGGGTAATAACAAGTCATGAGTAATATTGAGAAAAGTTCATGCATAGTGAAGCATGAATCCCAAAGCCTTGGAGGTTGAGTTCAACTCTTAATGAGATCTATACTCTATGTGGAGTGGAGTACTTTACTTTGGGGGTACTCCTGATAGACTCACCTATGTGAATGTGGGAGTGGGGCCGCTCTCTATGGAACTTTGGAGGCACAAAGTTGCTAGAGCGTTCACTAAACCGGGATAACGTGCATGGCCATAAACGCACGGCCTATGAGAGAATATCACTCAATGAAAAGATCCGGTGTGCTACATTGTCTGAGATAGGGTTCAAGACTACGAGTCACCCTTATGAAATCGGAAGTGTAACCACTACGCTAAGGATCAAATCTTCGCGATACCTTAGCTTATGCCCGATCTTATAGATCTGTTGATGCTCAGAGATAGTTTCAAAACTATTCAAGTGGGGGATTGTTGGGAATGAATAGCTTTGAAAGCTATATTGAATTAATTATCCAGTGTTCTTTCTAGATACGGAAATAGAAGGATCCACGCGTAACAAGGTAGATGGTATACATATAACTCCAGCTAGCTAGAGTAGAGATGCCTCATCATATATGGCGACCAATTCCGGTCTTTGCACTTGTCTCCCTTCCCTGTCTACGGCAGTCGGCAGCTGCAGAGCGAATTTATGACGACAGTCTCTTTCTTTTCTCCTTTTTGGTAAGAAGATGGATGCAAAGCATCCCAACTTTAAATGAAAACATCACGTTCTTGGGAAGTCTCTTACATAATAATTAAGCCAATATATGAGATTTGGGTCGCACGTATCAAGGTGCTGCGTGCCAATAGAAACCTCGTGACCCTTTCTATCTATATGTAATGTAAATGTACCCACAATTCAGAATTCAGATACACACAATTCATTGCTGTCAAATGTGAATCACATGCGATTCCACATTTCCACTTCCATTAAATAGTGAGCCTTCGAATGGGATAATGTGGGTTATAACTTTAAAAGTATAATAGCTCAAAACAACAATTACTGTACATCCAGACTGCTTTTCCTATTCATTGTGACTCAAAATTACTATTCACCGCACTTTGATTGGTTGGTGGGATGGAGTGGGCCCTTTGTGTTCCCATTCGTTCCTTTGTAGCCTCTTTCTTTGCACTGTGTGGCCTGCTTGGACCAAGATGATGAAAAGGCGCGTTGGTCACAGAGGAGCTGAATGGGTTCAGGTTAAGTCATGAAGATATTTTTGCGGGTTGTTTGGTGGAGTTGGGCGCCACGTTACTCTTTTGTCTTGGCCACTCATTTAGCCTACCCGGCACAATCCTCAATGTTTGCTTTCTTTCTCTCATTGATATCTTTTTGCTGAAATTAAAATAGTCGAGGCGAAGTCAGAGACGAACCATCTTGATGTTCCTCCATCTCACTATCTTCTTCTCGCACTTCTTTCTACTTTTGTTTCTCTACTCTGTCTCTGAAACCAGTAGAAGTTGAGCGATCAACCGGAAAATTTGGGTGATTGAGAGAGGATTCGAATGACCCAGATCCGCAGGTCTGTTTTCTCTGTCCATGGTGATTTACCCAATATTAAAGGTTTGTTTTCGTTCTCAAAGGGGTTTGTTCGATCATTTACCAGAGGAGATTCCGTCACTGAACTCGCTCTCGCTGTAGCAGAGAAAGGATGAGATATTCGCGCAGGTGACAGAGTTCATCTGAAGGTGTTAATCCTAATAAAGTTTGAGGAATCCCTTTGGTGATTAATTTTGATTCTTTCTTTTTTTGGATTTATTGAGAGTATCGCACACTTTGGTTTCTCCTTTTCCCAGGCCTGTGAACCCACGATGTCAAGTACTCGAACCTCTCAAAGTTGTAGATAGAAGATTCAGTTGAAGACCCTAATCTACAGGTTCCGTCTGATTTCAGGTATTTCTTCATTCTCTCACTATATCTTTCATTCTCTCCACATTGAAAATGAAGATTCAAACATCTGTTCTTTCTTTTCTATCAGCTACTAAGAGAGTCGTGGAACTCTAAGTTGCTCAATGGATTTGAGAGGTACAGAGAGTGTTCGCAGCAGAGGCGGATGTGTTTATTTGATGTAGGCATGTGCTCTGTCAAGTTTTCTTTCTCTGTTATCTTAATTGGATTTTTTCTCTCCCTTTAATCTTATGGATTCATTACTGTTTTTTCCCCCGAGGGGAGCAGTAGAAGATTTCCCATCATCGTTGGTGGTGAGAATTGATTCAAAGAGCTGATTTATTACCTATGAACTCAACCTTCCAGTCTTTTTCTCTCCTTTTGCTTCCTTAGTCTTGTCAATCTCTCTCCCATGAGAGTTGCTTTCTGTTTTCAGTGGTTCTCTGGTTGGTTGTAGGATCCATTTCATCATTAATGAGCAAGAATCATCTCTAAGTATGGTGATTAAGCTCCATACGGGAGAAGGGGACACATGTGAATATCAGCTTTAATGGGGCACATGCTTTCTTTAATCTCACTTCTCAGGTTTAAATTTATTTGACAGCCCCCGATTTGACTCTACTATTTTCTCTGTTCCATCTGGTATTATAGACACATGAAGGCGTGGTTGGGTGTTGCCATGTTGGAAACAAGGTCTAAACTTTACAAGGTAAGGCGATCATTCCATACCACGGTCTCGGTTTCCCCCTGTTGCTATCATCAGTCTTTTTGTGTGTTGATAGACACTTTTAATTTGTCCATAACGTTTGTGTATTGATGAGGAAATGAAGTTCTTTGGTGAAATCTCTCTTTTATTTGCTTATAATTACTGTTGGGAGCAACAAGAAGCTCTTTTCTATATCTTTGTCTGGTTAAAATCAGGGTTGGCAACATATCTATTGTTGGTTGCAGAATTATCAAGCCAATTGCAGGCCTTCGAAGAACAATATATGACATAAATTTTTTCTTCCAGTTAAAAGGTTTTCTGATGCTTTGATAATTGATAGTGTGATTGAAGCTCATGTTCTACAATATGTATTTTCTTATTTTTTATTTCTAGCTTACAGGAGACAATTCTTAGATCAAAATATTGTCAGTGCAGATCATGTGACCAATTTGTTTTGAGGAACTTTGTAATATCTTTAGTTGAATAATCTGTTGTAGATAAATTTGATTTTGAGAGCTCTTGCATCTATAATTTCTATAGTTCTGTTGGAGTCCTTAAAATACTCTGTCGTTTTGCCTTGGTTTGAGATTTTCTTGGTAAGGACGGACTTATCTAAAAGCCTCAAATACTTGCCTTGGTATTGGACTTTCTTGGTAAGGAAAGCTTAAATATAGTTTTAATTATTATAGCACTTATTATTTTGGCTGAACATTTTTGTGCATGGAATGTGTTGGTTATTAGAACCAACTTTGTGTGAAGCGTACATACCACCTGTAAGTTGGCTACTGGCAAGGACAATTTCGATATGTTATGAATCCATTTTCCATGTTTTTCATTTCACTTCGTCACATCTTTCTTCTGGATGCTAATATGTGACCAGAAATTATGATGTCCGCAAATTGTAATATAATAAGTACATGTTCATGTATTAGAATCACAAGTAGGTATATATATAAGAATCAAGGTTCAATTCCACATTCCAGTTTACAATAAATTTGTTAGCTTTTGCTTGAATGAAATATCTACCATCTAGATTATAAAGAAGAGTTTATTCCTGGTATCTAATTAGCTATGTAATTAGATCCAAGTAAAGATCACACAAGTCACTAAATGAAATTGTTCTTTTTCCTTTATCATATTACAAATCCCGCAGCGGAGCGCGGGTAAGAACACTAGTAACTTATAACAAACAAACCACTGGAACTGTGTTCTGGATGTCTATGTGTTTTGTCGTTATAAGCCCAATCTATGACCTTTAAGCTTTTTAAAACACATTTTGGGCCTTGAAGTCCAGACTCGCTTCCTGCTTACCGCACCGCTTTAAACAAACGACGCCGTGGTATGCAAATAGCCGCCACCCACAACGAGACAGACTTTGCAGCAGCAATCTCGGAGAAGCAGAAAAGGGAAGGGTCTAGGGTTTTACCATTGAAAGAAACCAGACAAGGTTAGAAGAACGACGATAGCCGGGGGAACGATAGACAGTTAAAGGAATGACGACTCGAATCACTCCCGGCGTCGGGGCGAATTTGCTCGGCCAGCACTCTGCCGAGAGGAATCAGGATGCCACCGCTTCCGTCGATCCCCTCTTCTTCCCTTGTGTGGTTCCTTCCGTTCTTTACCGTCTGCTGAGATTTCTTTCCTTGCTCTGGTTTGTTCTGATAGATGAGTGAGGAGTTACTATGGGAGTTGTTCGTTCAAGCTGGCCCCTGGCCGTAGGTATGCATTCCCTCGTCCACTCAATTTCTTCCGAAATTATCTTCTGTTCCGGTATTTCTTAATTCGAGCTCTGAGGTTTTGAAGTTAATTTCGGAGGATCTCTTTGCTTGCGCTGGTTCAGTGAATGTCAGTCTATGTGCCAAAGGATAGGGTGACTAACCTGCACCAAGGATATGGATTCGTGGAATTCAGAAGCGAAGAAGATGCTGACTATGTAAGCAGCAGGTTTCCGGTTTTCGATGTTCATTTATTATTGAATGCCTCACCGTTGCGAGAAGATGCTGAATGAAACTTGCCAATGGTGATTGTTTTTTCATTTGTTTCCACTATTTTGTAGGCAATTAATTAAGGTGTTGAACATGAACATGATTAAGCTATATGGGAAGCCGATTCGTGTGAAGTGAACAAGGTATGTGTTTCTGCTTTCGTTTGCAGTCTGAAGCTCTTTCTGGTTCATGTTGAATATTTAACACAACCCTGTGGTTTACTTTTCAGGCGTCACAAGACAAAAAGAGCTTGGATGTCGGGGCGAATCTTTTCATCGGAAACCTTGATCCTGTAGGTTTATTCGTTCGATTTCTCAATTGTAGGGAATGTGGACCACGTCAGCCCATTCCTCAAGCTGGAGGTCATCCCGTCGACCTCCCATCCCACGCACCGGCCGTCCACCTCCGATGCCCTTACAACAACCGCTACCTGATGGTCGTCCCACAAAGGGAGCATCTCGTCATCGCCGGCGAAACCGAGATGAGAGACGACCCCAACGACCAGACGTCCACGCTCTTCTACCCTTCCTTCCCGTCCTCCACCGACAACCTCGTCGGTTTCTACCACAACGCTACCAACCGCAACGTCAGGGTTTCCCAACTGGACAACCCGTTTGTGGTGGCGTTAAGCCCGCCAGCTGGCATGGAGTAGGAGTACTTCAGGTACTTCCCTTATGAGTCGTACGACGAGACGATGGCTCGCAAGGACGAGGAGATCAAGGCGATTACGGAGTCGTTGGAGGAGTTCAAGGGGAGCAATGGTGAGAGTCTGAGTCCTGAAGAGTTGATTGGGCAGCTGAGGGAGAGGATAGCCGAGCAGAACAGGGAGCTGGAGGAGTTGTACGATCAGATCGGTGGTCGGCCTAGCTAATGCGGCCAAGGCCGGCCAGATTGCCGGAGCCACCGCCTGAGAGAGTCCTTAGCTAGCTAGCTAGCTTTTGCTAGTTGATTGGCTAAGGATATGTATGTTAATTACTGGTTAATCAGTACTACGTACTTGTTTTTCCTTCTTGTGTCCAAGCTATAATAATAATAATAATAATAATAATAATAATAATAATAATAATAATAATAATAATAATAATAATAATAATAATAATGTGGGTGGGCTGTGAGCCAGTAGCTCTAACGATCAGTGAGCTCTCACTCCCAGTGCCAGTGTGTCGGGTGCATGTCAAGTACAACCTGGCCTTTGTATTTCCATATTTCTTTACTTCTTTCCATGTAAGTAAGGTTTGAATTTATCTTGCATTTTAATGAATTCGTAATAGTAGACATCCATTGTATTCGTATGTCTTCCTCACTATATATATACATTCTGATTGAATTACTGAAAAACTAAATATAACAATTTTTTTTTATAATGGTGATGAACTTAAATTAAATGAGATAAAGGAAACAAGAACAACACTCCACAAGCAGTGGGAATGTGCAAACAAGTTCAAAAGTAAAAGACAACAAACGAAGATCAAACAAACTACAAAAACAAAGCCAAAGCTTGCAAGCCCGAAGGGGAAAGCAAGTCGGACATCAGGTCCAGGAACCTACAAGAACTCCACAAAAAGGAAAAACATCCCACCCTCAAACACGTCAGGTGAGAGGCCCGCTACCCTGGTTTTCCAATCGTTGTACCATTGCACAACTCTGTCTTTGTCAACTAAAACCGTGTACCAAAATCCCTTCCATGATAGCTCGCAAGATCTTCTGGGAAACCGCAAAAGCCGAGCAAGAACTCTGCTCGAAAATCCTTTGGTTTCTCTCCTTCCAAACAAGCCAGCAAACAGCGTGGATGGCACTCAGCAAAATGCCCTTAGTGATATCATCCGAACCCTCAGCCGACCAATTGGCGATCACTCCTGCAATGTCACCATCGGGAGGCCTGAGATTGACATCAGCGCGGGCAACCAGTCTCCACACCTCCTTGGTGAATTTGCACTAAATGAAGATGTGATTAATTGTTTCCTCAGAACTAAAAAACATAGCACATTTGCTAGCCAGTGCGAACCCATGAGCCTTCAAATTATTCTGTGTAAGAATCTTCTTCTGCCAGACCAGCCAAAGGAAGCCGCAAACTTTTGTCGGATCAAAGCTCTTCCACACTGATTTGTATGGGAAATCTTCAAATCTCACGAACCGATTATCCACCAAAAACATGTACATGTTATTAACAGAAAAAGAATGGTCCGAACTCGGCATCCACACCACTCAACAAGGGCTATTTGTGATTCTTTGAGTGTTAGCTAATAACAACTTCTGAAACCTAATCCTCTGCCTTTCATCCCCCCCCCCCCCCCACGAAGATTAATGGAAAGCGAAATATTAAAACTTACATTCTCTCCGTTGTGGAACACAGCCTTAGAGATCTTCACTTCGGGATTAATTGCAGCCTCCAAAATCCTTGGGTAAGAGTCAGCTAGACGTTCGCCAGGAATCCAATCATCGTGCCACATGGAGACATTATCACCCAACCCCGGCTCGATACAAGCACCCTTCCAAAAAGACTCACTAACTTTGGCTATGTTAGCCCACACGGAGCTCCCGAAGCCACTCTCAACACTTCTGGTTCTCCATTCCGAGAACTTATCGGGATACTTGATAACAATCAATTGACGCCACCAGGTCTCTCTTTCGGTGGCAAATCTTCACATCCACTTCCCCAATAGAGCATTGTTAAAATTTTGGAGGTCAACCACACCAAGACCACCATGCTTCTTATCGGCCTTGCATAGCTCCCAACGCACAAGATGGAATTTATCCTTTTCACACGAACCCCTCCACGGAAAGCGCTTCTGGATTTTTTCCATGCAATCCACCACGGTTTTAGGCGCTTTGAGGGTTGAAAAATGATACACCGATAGAGTATTGAGGGTGGACGAGTTTAGAGTAAGCCTGGCACCGAATGGAGACCGCGTTAGGCCGATATCCCAATAGTAACCCCAGGTATTTGGTCGGATCATTGCTCCACTTTCAACCGAATATACTAGCAAGAAACCCGGGCTCGTGCACATCACCAACCGTGAACATAGTGGATTTGTTTAGGTTGATTTTCAACCCCCGTAACAGCTTGGAAGCAAACAAGAGTGGCAGGGATTTTGATGACTTGATCGACCAAAACATGTCGTTTGTTTCGAAATATTTTTTTTTTGGATTTTGAATGATACACATCACAGGTTCGGCCTGAAACTATTCCTTACCATTAATTAAGTCTTTAAAAACATCAATTTGAGTGAATTTTTTCTGGGACCAATTTTGGCAAATTTTAAATAGGTACCATTACAAATTTCAGAATTTTTTTTTGCGAAAGATAGTTCTCTTTAGATTTTGAAGGCTACAGATCACATATTCGACTTTAGGCTATTTTACAATGATGAAGACTACCAATCGCTGATTTGGGTGGATTTTTTCTAAGGATACTTTCATAATTTTTTAGGCAATTTTTTCAAAACGCCATTTTTCTTGGATTTCGAAGACTACAGATCACGCATTCGACTTGAGCATATTTTTCATCGATGATAAAGTCTACTAATCGCCGATTTAGCGGATTTTTTCAGAGGGCACTTTCGTAATTTTTTGGGTGATATTTTCTAAATGTCATTTTGCTTTGATTTTGAAGTCTGCAGATCAAGGATTCAGTCTAAGACTATTCTTCACTGTTGATTAAGTCTATTAAGTACAAATTTGAGCGAATTTTTTTCGTTCTGTCAAATCATTAATCATAGAGTTTTTTTTTTGTCATGATGTGGACAACTGTGCAAGGAAATGGTAAAATACCTTACTTCGATCTCTCTCAACATTTTGAATAATTGGGACCAATACTATCTATAGTTGCATGGAAAGGGAGAAATCGAATAATAATAGTTATAAAAACTAATGAAATACTTGAAAGCAATCCACCCAACTAAGTCATTCACGTTTATCTTATGCATATCCTCTTGCGCATTCCCATAAAAAAACAGTCATATTCAAACGAATGAATTAAACACCAACTCATTTCACTACCAGATATCGTGAGCTTAAAAAAGCAGGGATCCTTTATGGCATCATATGCCCAAAGGCAAAAATAGAATAATATGACCTACAATTGAGAGGAGGTCTCTAGCAAGTAAGCAAACATTATGATAATTACTATAAAGATTTCATTTATAGAAAATAGTAGGGAATATGGAAAGGACCTCACAACAAACATTAAAAGATCGATAGAAGATTTGTTAAAATTTGTGAAAGGCAAATCTCCTCCTTCCAACACAACGGCCACCTATTGGTGAAAACTCGTTTGAATTAGCTAAGAAACAAAAACAATGGTGTAGGTTAGAGAAACCATAGTGAACAGTAACTATTTTAACTTTATATATATATAATTAATATATATCTATCTTTAACCCATATGTGATATGACCATGCATTCCAATTGGAATTGGGATGAGGGCTAAAGGCGAAAATAATATAGCTGGCAGCCACAACCTTTGTCTCAGTCTTTTTTTTTTCTTTTACAATACCTTTATCTCAGTCGATGGCATGAGAAGGGAGAAATACAGAGGAGGAGGACTGACTCATTTCTTCTCAAACAAATCTTTTTATTTTTTTCCTTAATATAAGAAAGCCATAACTCATTAGTTACTAACAGTAGTCTAGGGACAGACTGAGGGGGACAAAGTCGTCTGACCTGCTCTCATTAAAAAATTAATAAAATAGTAAAGTTTTGGATTGTGGTGATTAGCAGGGGGAGGTCGAGCGCTGGGGAATGGAGAAGGGACGTTTCTCTTTCTCTTTTTTTTATCGCTTTGTTTGTGTGAGAGAAGATGAGGGGTTTAATTGCTTTGGGGGAAGGAATCTTTCTGGTAGAACAATAAATATATACCGTCCAAAAAGGACAATATTTACCTGCAGACTAGGTTGTAGGGGGTTCCTGCAACCTGTCCAGGTGTCCGTCATTAATAGGTTGTTTTGTCCTTTTTTATTAAATGATTCCACTCCCACAAATTCTAACGGAACAGCTGCTAATTTTTTCAAAACACCATTTTTCTTGGATTTCGAAGACTACAGATCACGCATTCGGCTTGAGCATATTTTTCATCGATGATAAAGTCTACTAATCGCCGATTTAGCAGATTTTTTCAGAGGGCACTTTCGTAATTTTTTGGGTGATATTTTCTAAATGTCATTTTGCTTTGATTTTGAAGTCTGCAGATCACGGATTCAGTCTAAAACTATTCTTCACTGTTGATTAAGTCTATTAAGTACAAATTTGAGCGAATTTTTTTCGTTCTGTCAAATCATTAATCATAGAGTTTTTTTTTTGTCATGATGTGGACAACTGTGCAAGGAAATGGTAAAATACCTTACTTCGATCTCTCTCAACATTTTGAATAATTGGGACCAATACTATTTATAGTTGCATGGAAAGGGAGAAATCGAATAATAATAGTTATAAAAACTAATGAAATACTTGAAAGCAATCCACCCAACTAAGTCATTCACGTTTATCTTATGCATATCCTCTTGCGCATTCCCATAAAAAACGGTCATATTCAAAACGAATGAATTAAACACCAACTCATTTCATTACCAGATATCGTGAGCTTAAAAAAGCAGGGATCCTTTATGGCATCATATGCCCAAAGGCAAAAATAGTATAATATGACCTACAATTGAGAGGAGGTCTCTAGCAAGTAAGCAAATGGTAGGGAATATAAAGATTTCATTTATAGAAAATGGTAGGGAATATGGAAAGGACCTCACAACAAACATTAAAAGATCAATAGAAGATTTGTTAAAATTTGTGAAAGGCAAATTTGTGAAAGGCAAACATTATGATAATTACTATAAAGATTTCATTTATAGAAAATGGTAGTGAATATGGAAAGGACCTCA